AAATATATGGCCTGTCCTTCAACGCCCTTATGCAAGGAATCCAATTGAAATTGCCAGTATGACCCGCCGGCGGGATGGTTGGTATGGTTGGGGAAGAGTGGGAAAAGTCGGAGTACGGACCTTTCTACCCGGTGCTCGTGTCGAAGTTGGAGGTGTCACCAGCGATCTATTCCGATTCGTTATATTACGCAGGCTAGATGGCGTAACCTCGACCCAGGACCCCCGAAATATCACTCAGGGCCCTGAGGTAGGGGTGCGGACAAAAATCTTGAAATTATTTTGACCGAAAATGATGGCAAGACCGCGAAACGTCCAAATCCGAGCTCAGGAAGCGTGGGAATAAAAAAAGGTGCGGACAAAATTCCATTTTCTGACCTCAGGCCTGTTGGTGACCTTTCGGGGGTCCTCTCGACCCTGTATAGTCCTGTATTGTGCCTCAAAATGGCCCAAAATGCCAAACGATCTGTCGACGATCGACGATTACAGCACTGATCCCATCATTACAGAATAAAAACTTTCGGAGAAAAAGTTACTCGGCACACCAGTGGCACACCTCGTGCCTCCGGTAATTGCTGTGTACTGGAACGACTTTATTCAGAGGACGACGGAGGACCGGAATTTCTTTTTGTATCCCTCAAGTTTTGCTAATAAACTATAAACCCCTGAACTTGAAATTTTCATCGCCGAACGATCGTTTCAAGTTTGGTCCATGTAATTCCAAAGAAATGTGAAGCTGAAGAGAACTATGTGCTGAGTTCCTTCTCTGGGTTATGTATATACTGTACTGGTTCGAACGCGCTCTTTCCCAAAGATATCACGCACGTGGGCGCGCCATTCTTCAAATCGCCGATCGGAAACTCGGATATTCCGGACACGTGCGATCCACGTCAACATTTCATACGCAATTGCGAAGAATTGCGACTGGTCACTGCAAGGCGCTTCTCCGGACTCTCCGAAGGAGAAGAGAGGGTGGTAACGGCTGGTAACGGAGCAACAGGCAGCAACCTCGGATAGCCTCGGGTGCACCACTGTTGCCATCAGCGATCAGATAATGCCCTTTTCTACGCGTGGAAATTATTGCAGTTTGCATAATTGTTGGCGGGGCCGACTTTTTTGCACCGCCCCCCCCCGCAAATATCGCTAAATATGGGTCTTGGCGCATGGGCTCTCCTGGGCTCAATTGTGAATGGAATTTCATAATTTTTGGACGATTCAATCGCAGTCATTGTAATCTGAATGCATGTCAAAAATCGCGGGCTCAAGAGATGGATACACTTTTCGATGATTACAAGGCAATATTCAGTTAATTTATTGCTATTATTGTATCCTTCTCACATGAATTATAATGGACACATCTGCGAATCTCGTTCATCATCATATTGTACGTGAGTGCTTTCTTTGCTGCTTGTCTTGAATAATACTTACGGAGAGTGAGGGAGATTGGCGCTTGCCCCACTAGGGATGATGATAACGACAATCAGCAACGAGATAAGGGAGAATAAGGTCCAAGGCACAAAAATCCACGACACAGCGACCCGTGATGATGTTTAATCTTGGCGGCTGGCCCCTGGGGGAAAAAAAGATCTTTGCTGGCCGTGAAGATATTTTTCCTCCCCGGCCACCAAGATCAAGCATCATCGCCGGCCATTTTCACGGCCGTGAAAATGACCCGCGCACCACTGTGCGCGAGTAACTACTAGTAACTACTAACAAGCCCAGGACGAAGAATTTTCAGGATCCGCAAAAGGCAGGAAACACTGGGAATGGCCGGTGTTCCACAAGTTGCGTAGAGATGCAAATGTCCTGTAACAGTGGCTTTTGCGGATCTTGTCTCCTTAATGCTGTGCTGGAATGAGTCCAGTAAGTAGAGGCCAGAAACCGGTTTCATGATGGTGATCCTTGTGGCGTCCATATACCCGAGTGCGATCACCGATTCTGCCGACACTTCGCCCAAAATAGAAAGACACCGTCGTCCTATTTGTACCTGCCGGCGGCGAGGAACTCCTGATTTACAGGGATGGAAATCCACTTTGAATAGATATCAAAGCGATTCCATAGTGATTCATCAAGTAAAGTGCTTCTTTTGCTCTAGTACGCTTGAGCCGGAACTCGAGCCGACATGAGCGCTGGACCTGTAACACTCCGCCGCCCTGCCGACTTGCCCACAAAGTACAGCCTCATGTATATATAATATGGAGCCTATATATTGTGTTCGCCGACTCTCTTCCATCATCCCCAGTCGATCCTTCACGTAGGTCATTATCGATTATCATTCATGATTTGTCTCATCAACCTCAAAATCCCGACAGATGACATCCTATATCGTGGCTTTTGATGTGCTGCAAGCTATTGGACTCGTTGCAGCATATGTAGTCCTTATGACGCCTCTATTGGCCGCCAATATCAAGCGATCTGCGACATGGATGATATTCATGGGGGAGCTCGTGGTTCTCTGTGCTTCCTATCTTCTTTTGTTGGGACAGCAAACTGGCAAAGCACCCTATTTCGGGATTTGTCTTACCCAGGCGGCCCTGATATTTTCTGCGCCTGTGATGTACATCTTTCTCTATGTTGCTAAATGCTATCTCCGACTGACATCCTGGTTCAAGGTGCGCGTTTAGTGCGCTTGCGATCACGATTGAGGTATATTCCTCTATGGAATCTAAAGCTGCCAGTACTCATTTATCGTCAGCTGTACCTCAAGTTAGCTTTCGTTGACGGATCTCCCCGAAATATTACTCTCACAGTGAGTCTTTCCTCTTCCCGGAAAGATCTGTGCTCATGTACTAGCTCATTTCTGTTCCCATCGTCATATTAATTGCCATTATTATTGAGATCGTTGCGGTATGGAGTCCACTTCATTTCTCGGCGCTCAAGTCTAATGAGGAGCAGATGGGTCTCTCTAATCGTTCCAGTGTTATTCGGAACAAGTCCGGAATTGTTTGTACATTATCAAACACCATATCGTGAGTCGAGTCTTCGAAACTTGAGTGCAAGGGCTAACCTGCCCCCAGATGGAAAATAAGTTCCGCATTGGTGATCGTTGCTGTATTCGCTATGCTAGTCTTTGAAAGTGAGTCCTCAATATATCTTGATTCATAGAGAATGCCGAACAATGGCAGTAATCATCATATCCATCTTCCTCCGCCGACGTAAGGCAGCAAATAAGCTCCTCCGAGGCGATACTTCAGTCCACCTATCCACTATAATCCGAGTCACCTCTTTCAGCTTTCTACCCATCACCACACTCGTGTATGTTTTCCATTCCGTGGACCCAGCAGAATACTGACCTTTTATCGGCAGTATTACCGTAATAATCACATCGGGACTCACAGAATGGACGCCCAAGATCACGAGTATCGTATTCATCGGGGTCGCTTGTGGTAGGCCTGCCTTCAAGTTCTTTCTCTAGCCTGGACACTTTCGTTGAACTTGCATGTTAGTTCCCTTATGCGCAAGCGTCATTTTTGGGTTCCAACACGTATGTACTTGGTCCTGCTTTCTTGATCGGCGCTGAAGGCTCTTGAATAGGATATTATCCAAGCCTGGATATTCTGGCGCAAGTCTCCGAACGGTTTGTCGCGCTATGAGCCAGTATCCGAATCACCAGAATTCGTCGAAACACGCTCGCTCGCTCGATAAAACTCCAGAGCCGGGCTTTAACATACACGGTCTCGTCACTAGTTCTCGATATCTCACTCTTTATCTTTATTATGTTGTTCATTATAATAATTTTGTATCGTCTAGTTGAATAGATTCGGTCGCTGATAGACAAAAAGGAGAAGGAACCTTCGATCATCTCTGTTCAATTCATTTCTTTGGAGCTGGCGAAAAAGTGACAATGGCCAAGACCCCACCAACCTGAGTGCACCGCCTGAGCCGTCTTCATCCCCCTGGTGGTATGTCAGTTCGGACTTACACGCGCCTGTTACGGGCTTCAAAATGAAGTACAACACATGAAAGCGGGCTTTGACTCCCTGCCAGGGAGCTATGCGATACACAATCCCTTCTGGGTTGACCCGAGGTTCGAATCAGAGTATCATTCGATTAGCATCTCTTCATTCCCTGAGTCAATAACCAGAATCACATCCATTCAGAGTGATTGTTATCACTGGCCCTTCGAACTTCGGAGGAGGAAAGCAGTATGTAACTTTTGGTCCAGCTGTGTGCCAAGCGGACCACGGTCCGTAGCGGATCGTAGACTCCATGCTTCTCGCACCACTGAACACCACCTTCTAAAGTAAGTGGCCCAGGCGGTGCGATTCCCTTTTGCCGCTAATCCAGTCTTTATTTCAGATGATTGAATCCGTGTTTGACGCCCTTTTGGGCAACAATGATTCTCCCTCGTCCCAGAGTGCTCAGCGTCCACGCGAGGCGCTAGAACACGCCCGGCACTTCTCATTCTGTTTTAGAAACTTTGACATGGAACAACGGTGTTGGGGTTTATCCCAAAGCGTTCGGCTCCCTGGATCTCGGAACCTCTGAACACAATTGGGAGACCGCCAAAGAAACGTAGAATGCAGAGAGCTGTTCAAAGGATGTCGGGTGAAGGCATTGATGTTGTCTTCGAAACTTCCTACTTCAAACAACCTGTGAGCCCAGTGTCCTCTCGAGCTTCAGCCGCATCTAACTCCGAGTCTTGCTGCAACAGACTTCAGATGATTCAGATTCAGAAAGCTCAATCGGGCTCGAATTTGAACTTATGGAATGAACTAGTATTATGGAGCTTGTTCAACACCGGTGGAAGGGGTGCTTGAAGCAGGTCAGATTGATCGTTCCCTGTAGCATTGAGGATTTATACTGGACAATCTTTTGGGGTGGCGTACTGAAATGATTCGGGCATTTGGTCTGCAAAGATGAAGAGAAATAAGAAGAGCTGATAGTAGTCGCAAGTACCTCGAGTGTTCAATCTATCGTCTGGACGTATGTAATGTATGTACGTGATCGCTGGATATTGTGTCGCATGCCCACCATGGTGACTAATATCGATCAGCTCATTATCCCTGGTAGTATATCGGTTAGTACACGCGCCTGTCATAGATTCTGAATTATGTGGGAAGTGCGCGCGAAAGCGGGGTTCGACTCCCCGCCAGGGAGCTCTGTTTGCATGTTCCTTTTTTTCTTTTCTATTTTCTTTGTCTTGTTTGTCAAAGTTTCTATTGATTCACTCACGGGTGAGACTAGACTTGAACTTGTATTGCTTTTCAAATTTCACATCAGACTGAGATGACCGCAATGCATTCAAGTATGGAGGAGGTACAGTATTATGCAGAGCAGATTTCGTCAGGTCCACCGAAAACTCCAAAACTCTTCTGTCATTCTAGATCTGTGGAGAGCATACATAAGAATCGACGAATTTTGAGCAAAGAGACGAACCGAAGTGTGAAACACGTTAATCAAGCTCATTGAGGTAGAAATCATAGAGAGCGCGTTTAGATACAGGCGTGGCGGCAGCGGCTTTGGCAGCCTTTCTTGCTTTGTGCGCCTCACGCTGCTTGGTGATGCATTGAGTGCGCTCCAAACCCTTTAATCCCCCGCACGGATTCCATTTGCGCTGCTTCCGGGTCTTGGGGGCAGCACCGCTGGATTTACCGGTCTCGGAAGCAGCGCCATCCCCAACAGAAGCAGAAGCGGCCTCTGGAGCGGTGGCACTATCGAGAGATAGAAAGTCAGTCGAGAAAAATCAAGAGAAACGGATCGAAACATACCTGGGTTTTGCATTACGAGCGAAAAGTTCATTGTCAAAGCTTCGAGCTTTGATGGACGATGTGGCAGGCGCAGTGACCTTGGCCGCCTTCTTCGCCCGGCGCTTCTCCTGCCTCGTCTTTCGGTTCTCGGCTGTCGTAAGGCATAGGGCCTTTGCTGCTGCGTCCGATATCTTTTCGCAGAGTGCAACACGACATTTATACCGGGCCTCGATGGTGCCATGACCTGCGGCGTTCTTGGCGTTCGAGCAGCTGTCCTGGACAATCTTACCGTGCAGGCCAGGTCCTGTGGCAGTGCTGAAAAGAAAAGGTCAATCAAAATCGTCGAGGAGCTAGGTCTGAACGTACGTTGGAGCGACGCTGAGATGACACAAGAATTAATGGTGGAAAAACTTGCTGGAAAGAAAACGATGACTTACGTAGAAGGCGTCGCTGCAGTCACGATGGGAGCAGCCCAGCTGGTTGAAACTCCTAGGACGGCAAAAGCCATGAACAACGTTGTAGAACGCATTTGGAAGGAAAAATATGGAGTGATTCAAAGAAAAGTATGGAGAGATGAGGATTACACCAAATGGCCGGCACTTGGGTGAGGTAGTTTGAGGGGGGAGAGAGACCAGCTGAAGAAATATTGATCGAGCCACACGACATATATATAGCTGATGGTAATTTGACATCAACGATCTCGGAGAAAAATCTGAAACACGCTTTGAATCCAAAAACGACCTAAAACGACCAGGTTTAGTGAGACTACATTATCAGCGGTATAGTAACTTGACCGACTGAGGCGCCTGAGCTTTTGGGTGAACTTTTCGTCGCGTTTTTGGCTTGGATAGACACATAGCGCATGGATCTGTCACAAAACATGTAGTTACCAGCCATTGCCATCAAGGGAAACAGGAGAATATCGGAAGGACCCGTGGAGGCGGCGGCCGGTTCAAAAGAACTTCCTTTCCTTTCCAGAGTGCAACTAACGACTTTCACTTTCTCCCATCGACATAGGTTGCGTCCCCGACTCCGAGTTTACGAGGAGGAGGGTTCTCAAAACCTCGAAAGTCAGGCACTCTATAATTTTCGTTCCCCCGGCATCTCGGCGATCATCTACAGTCGTCAAGACAACTGATGTCATTTCTGCGCGTATGTAGAATAATGCCAGTAGTATATCCAGAAGAGTTTTTGTGGGTGCAAGTAGACTCAAGTCTACAGTAATCTATCACATCTAAGATTGTTTACTCAAAAGTGAAAAATAGATACTTTCTGATGTGGTCACCTGGCAGTATTTACCGGTGTCTTGTGTACATTTGCTGACTCACTGGGCGCCGGTCGGCGACGACAGTGCAAGACCCAGCCAAGATCTGCCAAGATGGAATGTAGATAAGGAACATTGAACGTATGCATCAATCAAGTTCCTCATCTCTTTCTTCCTCAAGGGCCGGAGTCGGGGATTGTAGTCTGCGGCGCTACCAGGTTGTGTTTATGAGCACGGCGTCAAGCGGCAGGAGAAGAGCAAAATGCAAGACCGTGGGAGCCGCTGACACAGATTCATTGACTCGGCGTTCCCACGTGGTACTTGGAGCTGTCAATTTTTGCCGGCATGATTTTAAATCAATTTTTCGCTCTTCGTCACATCGGCCAGCGACGCTTCGACGAGAACTAGGGACCGGGAGGTGGTCTTGAGCCGCTTTATGGCCTCTGAGGAAGAAGTAGCAGAGGGTGAAGCAGAGAACAAGGTAGAGGACGCTTCCGACGGCCATGACTTCAATGATGATACTAATAATGTGCCTATGAACGTCATGCCGGTCAGTCCAATCCAGCTGGGCATTTGCTCCACTGCTTAATCTCTCACAGAAACCACATCCACATCCTGCACTCAAACTGACCGACATGCCTGCTTCGAATCTAGCGCTTCATTCTCCTTCGGAACAGATCGTCGGCACACCTTTCGCGATCGGTTCTCCTCCGTTCGAATATCCATTCCCAGAGCCCAATGCTACTGGGCCTATTGCTTCCGGCTCAGGTTCAGATTCACCTCCACCGCCCGGCCCCATATCTGCCTTGTCTCTCTATTCATCCGCGTCGCAGTCTAGTCTCCCATCGACTTCACCAGCGGCTTCGTTCGCGATTCCTTCATCGAACCCGCCGCAGTCCAATTATTCACCGACGCATCCAAAGCTGCTGCGCTCGGTCAGCCCCCCGGTGCCACCTGGGCTGGTCAAGAAGCGTCAGAGATGGAGCTTGGGATTATTGGGTAGACGGAAAAGCACCAAGACGAGCGACAAGGGACATGAAATAGCTGCATCCATTGATTCTTTCATGGAACATCAAGACCAGACCACGCCTGGGACTGGCGGGAGCAGAAGCGGCGCGTCGCGATAATCTGATCGAGTGGGTTTTATATATTTTGGGTCTTAGGGTCTCTTTTCATTTGGGTTTATGGTAGTCCAATCGGGATTTGTATTACAACATACGCACACACGAATTTGTTTGTTGTTTCGATATGTCACATCATTGCCTTTTGAAACTTCGTTTTCTTGCAATCCTTGCTTTGCTTGCTGTATTCCTTCCTTGCTTTTCTTGCAGTAATCATTGCTCGCTTTCATGTTATCGCCATGTCTTCATCCATTGTACATGTACGATAGAGCTTCTTCATATACAGTATACGGACTACAGCAGCATTTTATGACAGATACGAGATGTATATTACGCACATTTATTGTTTACCCTCCCTTTGGATGCTTTCCATCTTTGGGCTTGGATGCAACGCGAAGCCGGTGAAGAGAGGATGATTCGACGGACAGAAAGTCAATCAGCATACAGTTCTATAAGTAAATCAACATCTACGATACAATTATCAAGCTATACAGCGAGATACATGTTTAGCAGATACATTGAACATTATGCTCAAGTTCTATACATGACGCTCCAGATACGTTATGCAGGAGGTTCGACGCCACAATGCCGACACGCCTCTAAAATCTGTTTCCGAAACATCGTGCCCTTCTCCTGATTCACTGTCAAAAGGTCAGCAAATGCGGAATGGGGATGGAGATCCAGGCGAAAGAAAGACACGTGGAGATCACCAGGGAAAAGACTGCCTACGACACCAATCCAAGAAAAACTGACCTTGACAAGGCCAGAGCGCATTCATACTGTCCACGGTCAAGAGCAACGATTTGGCTAATTCGAGGGCATCGACTAAGGAGCGGTCGTTTCGCCATAGCATCAAGCATCTGGGAATTCCGGTTAACACCGCGGAACAGAAGAAGAACAGAAGAGATGGATATCACATTGCGAGTTGATTCAAGTACCAGTTGACCTGGAATGGCCTTCTGACGAGGTTGACAGCTTGAGGCTGAAGGAGATATTGAATCGATATCTTGGCGCGATTGACGACCTGGGCTTGGTAATGTACTGGCGAAAGGAAGAAACGTCGGGTTGAGACAATGAGGCAAAGAAAGATACACGTACTCCAGTCTTCCGCCTGCTTGCGATTGAGAACCGGACTGCTGTTATCCAAGTCCTGCAGACTGAAACAAAATTGATACAATCACAAAAGGAAAGAATAGAGTTGTTCATACCTCCTTAAAACTTGCGTAATGATCATGCGTATACTGGAAAAGTCAAAGTCCGTCAGAAAGAGAAAAAGAAAGAAGAGAGAGCTGAAGGATGACTGACTTGGATACATATTCACGCGTCATATACATGATCGACGTGTCCAAATTACACCCATGCATATCCAGCGAATCCAAAATCGCCTGGGATTCATTCCACCCCTCTTGCGCAAACTCGGATTTGTCTTCCAGTCCACAAGTCTCGTCGTCGCGACACCGATAGCAAAAGCACCACAACAGCATGCTGCGGCAATACAAGGCCCATACCGACTCTTTGGGCGAATGCGATTCGGCAGAGCGGTAATTGAGGGCGATACGGTCGAGGACTTGACCCGGAAATAACAATGAAAACTGTTTTGGTTGAGAAGAAGAAATTGATGACAAGTGAACCAGACATACATTTGAAGGATCTGTGAGGAAAAGATCTGGTGGCTTTCGCGCAAAAGCAGCACATTGCGTTGTGTAACTGGCCACGAGACCCAAAGCATTCCAACACAATCTCCTACATTCTTCGTTGCGAATCTCCTCGGGACCCCAAGTGCAATCCCATGGCAATTTGTACGAATGAGATATTCGGGGATCGAGTTGCGAGTCGACGGGGATGCAAGAGCATCTTGAAGCAAGCTCAAAATGGCCTGTATCGACACAAGGGACCATTCGAGCAGGAAAGATGGAAACATCGCTGTCATGCGCGTCTATAGTCGTCAAGGACAAATGTCGTATGATATCGTCGAGCCAAACCATCGCCGCCACAAAACGATCAAGATCATGTTCTGGATGCGCC